ACTGTTTGTTGAAAAGACAGGGAATTCCCTGGCGGTCTAGTGGGTAGGACCCTGTGCTCTCGCTGCCAATGGCCTGGGTTTGATCCCTGGTCAGGGAACTAAGGTCCCACAAGCCATGTGGCGTGGGCAAAACCCCCCAAAAACAAAAGAAACGCCTTCTGCCATTGAACAGTCTTGGCAACCTTGTCAATTATTATTATTTTTTATTTCTGAAATGAAAATATAGTTTATTACAAAAAGTTTACTATATTCATAAATTATAAGAGAAAAAACAATGAAGTCATTTCCAAAGATGTCAAAAAGGGACTTAATATAATTTAACAGGCATTTCTAATTCAATAAAAGTTATTAGCATATTACAACAAAAAGAACATAAGAGAAACTAAAAGCAACATTAGATTAGATTAATAGTGAAACACTAGCAGCCATTCCATTAAAGTCAGGAAGAAGACAGTGATACTCACCATCTCTGCTATTTAAATCACGCAGGAAGTCAATTTAATAGGCCAACTAAAAAAATTCTAAAAATATTAGAAGAGACAAACTTTTCACTATTTTCAGATGTTATCATTGTCTTCCTAAAAATTTCAAGAAAATGAACTGGGAGAGGACTTCCCTGATGGTCCAGTGGTAAAGAATCCACCTTACAATACAAAGGACACGGGTTTAGTCCCTGGTCAGGAAACTAAGATCCCACAGGTCGTGGGACAACTAAGCCCACGCGCCACAACTAGAGAGCCTGCGTGCCTCAAACCACAGTGCCCACGTGCTCTGGAACCCGCACACCACAACCACAGAGCCCACATGCCCTGGAGCCTGCATGCCACAACTAGGGAGAAGACTGTGTGCCTCAACAAAGAGCCTGTGCACCACAACGAAAGATCCCGCATGCCACAGCTAAGAGACCCAACACAGCCAAAAATAAATAAAATAAATAAATATAAAAAAGAGATTAACTTGTATTTTTTTAAAAAAAGAAAACGAGCTGGTAAATTATTAGAAAAATAAGAGTGTAGTATAGTAACAAATTAGAAAATAAATATTCTGAAATAAGTAGCTTTCTATATACTGGCAACAGACAGAAATATGACAGAAAAATCCATTCAAAGTTGTGACAATAAAGCGGCCAAATATCTAGGAGTAAGTGTAAATTTAAAATAAATGAATAAAATCTATATGAAGAAAACTGTTCAACATTGCTGAAGAACAGAGAAGAAAACCTGAACATGTGGGGTGACATACCATGTTCATAGATGAGGAAATTCGATATTGTCAAGATGTCAATTTTCCCCCAAGTAGATTTTTAGATTCAAAGCAATTCCATTAAACATATACTACATTTGAAAGAGTGAAATTGTATAATCTACATAAAAGATGAAAATAGTGCAATGAGCATTTGTGCACCCCTCACCTCAATTTACCGGTTGTTAGCATCTTGCCACCTTTACTTCATCTCAACTACTTTTCTTTCCTGAACGTTTCGAATGTAAGTTGCAGACAGCAATGTCACTCTGCCTCTGAAAACGTCAACACGCATCTCCTAAGAATTAAGGCATCAGTTTCACACTTGAGACAGTTAACAGTAATACTACAGTTCCACCAGAAACAGTGCTTGTCAAATTTTACTACACATGGGAGCCACCTGGGGATCTTGTCAAAATGCAGATTCTGATTCAGTGGGTCTGGAGTGATGGCTGAGGTTCTACATTTCTAACATGTTACCAAATGATGATGATGATGCTGGTCTGGCAGAACAAACACACTTGGAGTTTCAAGGATCAAATATTGTTCCTTCTATACCCCCTTCCCAGGTTATCACTCCTCTCTCCTCCTCTAAAGAAGGAACCATTATCTTAAACTTGGTGTATTTATTCCTATGCATGTTTTCATACACTTATTAGATATAGGTATCCCTTAACTATACACAGTATTGAACTTTACATACGGTATCACATTGAATATATTCTTGGGCAACTTGCTATCTTCATTCAGCATTATGTGAGGTTTATCCATGTTGATAAATGTAGTTCTGAGCCATTCATTTTAACTTCAACAAATCTTCCCCATGGAGATATGGCTGATGGGTAGGCTGGCTGCAGAGAACTCGCAGAAGTGTGGTGATGGAGGGGTTGGTATTTGGAGTTGGACATTAACCAGGCTGCTTCATTTTCCATTGTGAGGTTGTAATTCACAAACAACCTGGCTTATACAGTTCTGGAGGTGGGAATTTCAACATCAAGGCTCCAGAATATTCGATGTCTGGTAAGGGCCTGCTTCCTTGTTCATAGATAGCCATCTTCTTGCTGTGTCTTCATGTGGCAGAAGGGCCCTTGTCAGTGATTTTGACTTTGCTCATGGTGTATATTTTGCCTTGATGGAGGGTTTTTTTGGTTTGTTTCTCTCACGTGGTTAAATGTATCTCTCTTTGCTTTTATGGCTTCTGGACTTTGAGGCTTGGTTAGAAAGGCTGCCCCTACTCCACGGTTATAAAGGGATCTATCTTCCCAGGGTTTCTTCTCGTACTTTTATGGTTTTATTCTTCTATATTTAAAGCGCTGACGCATTTGGAGCTCATCCTGGTGCTCTGTGAGAGGCATGGCTACAACTTACTTTCTTCTAGGCAGCTGCACAGTGTCCCAGCGTCAATCGAAAACACCACCTCCTCTCCCCCACAGCCACGGATTTGAGGTGCCATCTTCAGCCCACACTAAGTGTCTGCAGGCATGTGGGTCAGTTTCTACATTTCCTATTCCACACTGTGGTTCATGTATCACGTGACAGGACACTATCACCTTGATAATCGAAGCTTTGTGATATGAATTCATGTGAGAGCTAAACCTATTCTTGCTTATTTTTCTATTTGACCAGTTTGCCAAATTGAAAAGGGAAGATGAGCTTTTAGCAATTTTTATCGTTGATGACACTGAGCTGTGAAGCGCCTGGGGAGAACCCTCTGCGCTGGTGAGTCTTCCTCTCCAAGAACATGGTGTCTTCCCGCCGCCAAGTCTCTTGTAATGCCCTGGAGTGTTTTAAAGTTTCTCTCAAACAGGTTTGCACTATTTCCTGTTAAGTTTATTCCTGTTGTCAAATGTGCCTTTTTCACTCATTTATCTTCTAGAGTCTGTTTACATCTATAAAGACTCTACTGATTTCCGAGCAGTTGTCTGCACCCTCTTCCCACACCCTCTGCTGTGGATGGATTCCAGTCCACTCTCCTGTGCCGGCGGGGCACAGTCACGTGTCTCCCGTGATGCCGGCGTCACCTCCTCCCCAGTTGCTCATGTTCTCCGCCTCTTGCTCGGCTGCGTGGGCCAATGTTTCCAAGATGGCGCAGGTCACCTCGGGGATGGTGACACATCTCCAGCTCTGCTCTGCTCTGCCTGGCACTGTGGTCCTTCTGACTCCTTTTTTTCCAGGTGTTTTGCTCTCCTTCATGACAGAGATCTTCCCTGAATGTCTGGTGCCCTTGGCTGTTAATTCGTGTTTAAAGCGGGGACTGGGGCTTCCCTGGTGGCACAGTGGTTAAGAATCCGCCTGCCAATGCAGGGGACACAGGTTCAAGCCCTGGTCTGGGAAGATCCCACATGCCGCGGAGCAACTAAGCCCATGCGCCACAACTACTGAGCCTGTGCTCTAGAGCCCGTGAGCCACAGCTACTGAGCCCACGTGCCTAGAGCCTGTGCTCCGCAACAAGAGAAATCACCAAAATGAGAAGCCCGTGCACCGCGACGAAGAGTAGCCCCCGCTCGCCACAACTAGAGAAAGCCTGCACGCAGCAACGAAAACCCAACACAGCCAAAAATAAATAAATTTAAAAAAAAGAAAAAGAAAGCAGGGACTGATAGTTGATAACAACGTGGGCAGACTGGGGCTTGGTAGCTGGGGCAGCTTCCTGTTTCTGCGGCCTCAACGATGCAGCTGGGAGCTGACCCTCCAGCTCTGCCCACCCCATGGCTAGCCACTAGAATGTGGTTGCCACCTCCTGTTGGCCAGCCCTCCAGCCCAGTTCTGTCCTGTGGGTTCTTGCCTTCCTCAGAGCCCTCTGCAGTCATTTCGGTGGGACTCCTCAGAAGCAGAAAGGCACAGGTTTGCCCAGCTTTCTGTGTGAGGCTGGACGTCTGCAGACCCTTGTCAGGGGAGGTCTTCTCAGACCTAGGCCTCAGCCTGAGGTCGCTGCCCTTCTGTGGGCACATGTCCCCATCATGTGGGGTGCTGGGGCCCTGCAGTGACCACTGCAGATGAGGGCAGCTCTCGTGGGACTCAGGCTGGAAAGGGCAGGGACCAAGGGACTGGTAGGGCCAACCTGTGCCAGCCGGGCTTGTCCCTGAAAGACGAAGCCTGACAAGGCCCAGGTGTGGGGAGATGCCAGGGAAGAGCCTTCCATGCCGAGGGTGCACCAGGAGGGGACAAAGAGGATGGACACCCTGCAGGACAGAGAGACGGCAGCCTGGTGCCCTTCAAGGCCACGGCAAGTGGCTGACATCACCCAAGGGCTGGCCGCAGTGGAGGAAGAGGCAGGATGACACCGGAGGGGCGGCCAGGGTGTGGGGGACACTGCAGGGACTCCGTGCCCCCAAGTCAGAAAGCTGGGAGTCTGCGGAGAGGGGTCTGCACCCCTTCCCCACCGCCCCAGAAGCCCCTCTCCTCTGTGCCACCTCCTGCCTCCCAGCCTCATCCCCACACACCCCTTACCCACAGGGGCCCCCACCTCTAGGAACTGCAAACTTGGCAGGTCGCCCCTGCCCAGGAGCCGCCCGGCCCCTCCATCGGCAGATGCACAGCGGGATGGCCCCATGCCCCGGCCCCTCGCGAGAAGTCCTTGCCCCCGACAGGTACACGCTTGTGTGTTCTATGTCCTACCTGGCCCATCCTGAGATGCTGGCCTCACGGAAGCTGAGGGGCGGCTGGTTTCCGGCAAGGGCACAGCTGGCGGGGCACACGGAGCCCGCTTTCTTTCTCCACCACCTTTTCACTAAACCTTCGACCTCGAGAACACCCACGCAGACGGGTCGAAGCACACAGCTCCACGGCCTTCACTGAGCCTGGCCTGCCTCAGGCCGGATCCATCTAGCCTGGCCTGGACCCTGACGCCCAGGGAACAGTACAGAACTCCTGGGGGCGTGGCTTCTGTTGCTTGTGAAGCGCCCCCGGGGCCAGAGCAGCTGCCCACCCACTGAGTTGGGAGGCAGGCAGAGGTACCTCCAGACTGGGGCTGTCTCAAAGCAAAGCCTCCAGAAACATTTTGGCCAGACTCTGGTTGACAGGTCCTCCTGCTGACTGACCGTCTGCCTGCTCAGCAGGACACTGTCCCTGCTCTGGGGGCAGAGCTCCCCCTGACTGCGATCCCTCCGCTCGGTGGTGCCCGGGGTTGGGTTGGCCGGCAGAGGGGCAGAGCCCACAGCTGTGGGGGACAGGAGGGGCCACGCCCACCTTGGTGCCCACCCAGGGCTCTGGGAAGAGAATGCTGACGCTCTGCATGGCCCCCAACCCAGCACCTGCTTCTTATCAGACGCTGTTTGGCCCTCCACCAGCTCGAGAGGCCCCTCTCCACCCACACCTCCCCAGCCAGTCCCCGGGGTTTCCAGAGAGGAGCCCGGGGGCCCAGAGGCCACAGCCCGCTTCAGCTTACCCAGTCCTGAGTCTGCAGCACCTGCTGACTGCTGCTCGGGGGCCCCGGGCTGGCCCCAGGCCACCGCTGGGCTTGGTGGAGCTGAGGGCTGCCCGTTCTCTTGGGACGGCTGCGACTCTGGCATCTTCCCCAGGAAGGCCTTAAACAAACGCTTCCCGCTGTCCATCTCCAGCCCCTTGAGGGGCTCGCCTGCACCTCTGGGGCTCTGGGGGGTAGGTGCCCATGGCTAGCTGGGCCCCTCGGGCAGAGGGAGGCCGCGTCAGGATCTGCGCGGCTCATCTTCCAGCCACTGCCCAGACAGTGCTGGGTGGGCCTCAGCCAGGGACACCCAGCAGGGTCGACCCCTGTGGGTGTCCTGGGTCCCCAGCTCCTACAGCCATTCTTCTCCACATGGTCAAGCCAGGCCGGAGCAGCTGGGCCGCCGCCCTGCCCGGCCTCCTGCAGGCTCCCCCAGGGACGCCCCCTCTCCCACCGCGGCTTCAGCCGCGGCTCCAGCTCCTTGGATGTGCCCCCAGACGGCCCAGGTGCGTCTCCTCAGGACCCTGCCTGCGGGGCGCTCTGAAAGCGCGGAACGACCAGGAGAGAAAGAAGGGCCCCCCCCAACTCTCCCCGTCTCCCTCCTCCCGACCCCTGTGACGCCCGACCCCTGACCTCGACGCCCCCGGGCCACACCCCCAAGGTCCAGGCTCTGCGCCCCCCGCCCGCACGACCACGCGTGAAGACGCCGCAGCAGACGGCAGCCGCCCCCTCTCCACTCCATGGGGTCTGGGGATGAGGAGTTCGCTGAGGGGTGGTAGGGCAAGGGTCATGGGGACACGCGGCGAGCGTCAAAGGGAGGGAACCATGGGAGGCGGCGGCCAGCGGGGGAGGGGCGGGATACACTACGGGTACGGAGGTGGGGGAGAGG